AGGTTGGAGAGGGAGAGCAGGAGAGACCCATGGGTTTGAGTCCTGCTGTGGGTTTGGTGTGAGCACATCACCCTCTGCCCCTCAGGGTAGCGCATGTTTGGGCTGATGCCATCCATGCCACCTTCTGTATCTCAGCCTTCGAGACATCCTGTTTTTCAAGGTTGCTGGAGCACCAGCCCAGTTAAACCACATAGCAACCGAAACTGACAGCTGGGAGCACCGCAGCCCCCAGGGGAACCAATGCAGAAAGGAACAAAATGAGGTCAGGGCAGCCAGGGCCACCAAACCGGACACCAGAGCTCTGAGCATCCCACATGGGATTTCCTCCTGCTGCTGGCTCTGGCCAGGATCTGCTTTGCTCCCTGAGCAGCCACTGGGAGACAATTAGGAAACAGAGGCACTGAAGATGTGCAAAGGGATTTTGCTCACCAGCTCCACTCATCCCCCACTGTGCACCAGCAGCTTCAGTGCTGGCAGCAAACCGAGAGAAAAAAGCCCAAACAGCACAAAAGCAAGAAGCTGAGTGCTGCTTTCCCAGGAACCTGCCCGAATGCAGAAATCAGAGGCAGGGGCAGAGCTCAGGCCCCCAAGGAGAGCCCTGTGCTGCTCTGTGCAGACAAGAGAGGCCAGTGGGGTCAGAGCAGATGATTTGTAGAACTCGAGGCTTCAAGGTTCTCCGTCATTGCTGAATTCCCAGTCTGAACCTACCAGGAGCAGGCATGGGGCCACTGCTCTGCTCCCAGCCTTGGCCCTCAGCTTAGAGCCTTACACAGGGTTTGGGGATGCATTCTCAGGAATAGGATTTGCAAATCCACCCAGCTCAAGAGCTCAGCCAGCAGTGCAGTGAAACAGTACCTCACCTGCAGGGGCCACTGGGTCACGGGATGCAATAGAACAGCACTTTTGCATTGCAAGGTAAGCCACCCCAGCCATGGGTGCCCCACCAGCAACAGATGCTGCACCAAACCCAGCCTTCCCCACACTGCTTTGGCTTACATCACCCATCTTAAACTCTGGGTATCAGCTGTGCTACGGCTCTGCTCACTTTTATGGCCCCCAGCTGTGTTCCCCAGAGCAGGAATGTGCAGGTGATTGAAAAGCAAAAGAAACCAGAAAATTCTGCAGGTCTCCACTGCTCTCCAATTGCTCTCAGACTGCCCAAGTGCAGACCGGTCCCAGCTGCTGCAGATTAAATGCAGCTTGTACAGTCGTCATTTATTTTTCCATTCTCTCTCACTCTTCAATATTTTTTAGACAAGCCGTAACCTAAAAAAGCTCTGAGATTATTTGGCCAAGCTTGCTTTTGGGTGAAGCCCAGAGACGTGGTACAAAGCCAAGGGCAAGGTTTTCAGATGAACTTCAAGCCTCGTTTCTCAAGCTCTCCGCCTGCAATGAGGACGAGCGGTTGAGTGCCTCCACTTACATTGGCTTTGCCCAAGTATCACTGGTGACATCCCTTCTTGTGACACTCACAGAGGGAATTTCAAGGCTTTGCTCAGGGCGACTTCGGTCTAAAAAGCGAGTGCAGCTCTCCAGGTTGGTGGGGTGGATGGAAATGTGCAAATTTTACCCCATGATTTTGCTGCTCGGTTTTGTTCCTGAGAAATGCATTACATTCCACATTCTTTCGCGCTGAAAAATGAGCAGCGAGTTCATAGAATCATAGGATGGTTGAAAAGGACCACAATGATCATTGAGTTTCAACCTCCCTGCTATGTGCAGGGTCACCAACCATCGGACCAGGCTGCCCTGAACTACATCCAGCCTGGCCTTGAATGCATCCAGGGATGGAGCATCCTTGGGCAACTTGTTCCAGAGGTATCTCATACCCCATCCCTGTTACATCCTTGGACCCCCAGCATCCCTCCTCTCCCATCTCACCACCCACCCCCATCACCATGGCACCACCAGAGATGTGTTTCAGCCGTTTTATTGAACTTTGCGTATGAAAGAACAGTTTTGAGTCCTAATGAAAAAAAAAACAAAAAAACCAACATTAAAAAAATAAGTTTGACATCAGGTAAAAAAAATCCACATGACCAGAAAATAAAAACCCAAAAACCCACCTGTGAGGAGCTGAATATGCAGCCCACAGCACAGTGGGGTCACCAGGACAACAGGATGTTTGTTCGAGCATCAGATCAGCACCGATGGAATAAATTGAAACGTGGGCAACACAGCTCACTGGGCAAACCAAAATGAAAAGGAAAGCGGAGCAACAAGGCTGAGCTTTGCATCTCCAGCCACAAACGGTGTTGTTTCTGCAGAGCTTAGCTGCTCTGGGTTCGGCCTTCGTGCAGAGAAAGCCACTGGGTTGTCAGGTGGGTGTGTTGGGTTTCGGGAGGCAGGATGTCACTGTTGGAATATCTCCGTGTGTGTTGCTGCTGAGATAGTCCTGAGGACTTCTCATCACCAGCCAAAGTGCTGCCTGATGGCGTGGAAAGCAACGTCAACCTTATACCCAGCCAGGAAGGAATCATGGAAACGAATTGCATAGAAAATGATGGGGAATGAAGGAATTAAGACCTCCTGTGTGAGAGGTGGGTGCTTGGTCAGGTTCCCCTCTTGCAAAGCTTTGGGATCTCAGATCATAAAGGAAGAGCCTATTCTCCTTGAGAGGAGCTCAGTTTGGCCATGGGAAACACTCCTCCCTCTGCAACAACAGTTTTCCTCCCTACACACCAGGTTGGGTGCATATGGGTGCATCTTTCAGACATCACTCGGTTGGCACCCAAGCCAAATGACTAAATCCCATTTCTCATACACCAGTGGCAGGTGGATGGTAGCAAACACACCATTTTGACTAAAACCGCCCCATTTCAGGCACTGGGCCACAACTCCACACCATTGCTACTTCTCCTCTTCATAGCACAAAGGCTCAGATATGTCAATGGCTTTTCTAGAGCCAGGAAAGTCATCCTGCCCCAAAACACTCTCTGAAACGGCAGTGCTGGTCTGGCCTCACTGTCATCAGAGACAAAGGTCTGGAAAACTGCAGAGGAGGACAGCAGATCTCAGCCCATTCCTTTGGAAGATGCACTGACGATGTCATCTTCGAAAAGAAATAAAATGTGCCAACGAAGGGTGATTTCCCCGTGTCAGAGGTGGGCAAAGCCACCGCATTACAGAGCAGTGCAACAGGAGAAGCAAGAGAAGTCATGCAGACTTCCAAGGCTGTACAGAGGAGAAAAACTCCATTCTTCAATTTTAGAAGAATTCAGTGATGACAGCAGCACTTAAACGCATTTTGGATAACATCTGTGCCTCTCTCAGCTGTTATCCATGAACATCACCCCAGTGCCATCCCAGTGCTGCCTACAGCACCATGGGACCCTGCCCTACAAATCCACCAGGAGGGGCCCCGTGGCAAAGCTCCCATTGCCATCAGGCACGCTGACATAGGAAGGGAGGAGGGCTGCAGACAGCAGGAGGAGCTCAGACGTGTTTGGCGTCTCAAGCGCCGCACGACGCACGGCTTCCTCAGCATCTCTGAGCGTGGCTTTGAAGGGCTATGAATAAAGATGAGCAGCCTGCAGTCGGATGATTACGGGAATAAATACGTGCTATTTTTTGGGGGACCTTCTCTTGCTGTCAGCCATCATTAAATCGCTCCCTTTTTTGTTTGTTTTTTAATTGACTGGATACATTTTTAATTTGCCTTCCCTTGCCAAATCCGGCTCTCCCTTCAAAATGACATTTCTGCATGGCTGTCCTGCTATGATGGTTGTCTATAAACACACAGGGCTATCTTTGGAGTCATGACAATGCAGACAATACACAGGACCAACAATTAAAGACTATCAAACTCTCGCCTATTTAGAGAAAGCACATTAACAATTAGCCGGGTCAGCAATCAAGCAAAAGAAATCCAACAGCACGGAGCACACGTGGGCTGTTTTGTTGCCAGAGCTGATATGTACAACACTGAGAACAAGTTGAAATTTGGTGATTTCCACAATTTGGAGATGTCACAGGGTCACGGAATTGAGTTGGAAGGGACCCTTAGAGGCCATCTGGTCCAACTGCCTGCAATGGATGGGGACACTCAGGGTGTCCACGGGGATGGTGAGATTTGGGGAGCGGAGCTGCTGGCACCCATTGGGGCATCACTGCTTCAGAGCCCAGCGGAAGGGCTCTGCTCTTCCCATCCCATCCAACCCCAAGCAGAGAGATGCTTTAACACAGAGCTCATTGAAAACGGACGAGGCACAACCACGGTGCGCACACACAAAGCTCATAAAAAAATCTCCGGGTTCCACACCGGTGAGAAAGAAAAAAAATAAACTTTTGTACTGATACATTCTATCCCCACTTTTAAGGGCTACTGTTTAATGTTCCAAAAGAAACTAAATTCAACACCTCTGGGACCAGAGCTTCCCGAGAGGAAATCAGCTCTCCTCCTGCCCACAGGGGGTGCTGGGTCCCATCTCATGGGGTGCTGGGCTGTCTGCAGCCCCGACCCCCCTTCAGGCTGCTCTCCCTTATGGGATCACTGCAGATTTGTTTGTTTGATCCCTTTTGCACCCTCAGGACCAGGCTAGGTGCTGCAGGAAGGCTGCAAACCCATCATTTCACAGCTGTTTTGGAGGGCTGGATGCGTCCCATCCATCACAATGGAAAGAGAGCACCGCTGGGTTATTTGGGGCTCACAGGGATGGAAATGAGCTCAGCCCTCACCCCCAGACACTGGACAGATTTTGGCATTTATTCCAGTGCTGGGGAGCTGCAGCCTGGTGGGAGGACATGGCTCCCATTGCAGGAGGCAGGGAGGGATGCCTTTGGTGCAGCACGTACCTATTTATAAAGAGCATATACAGGAAAGCCAGAAAAAATAGAACAGAGCTCATTCGCTTCCTATGGCCAAAACCAGCCCGTGTCACTGGGAGCACTGAGAGCAACCCACGTGCCCCCATTTTGCTCCCACCCCAAGCAGAACACTTGGACAGCCCTCCGGCGGCTCTGCTCAGCATTTCCCTTCTGATTGCTCAACCTTCCAAGAGTTTTGTTCATTTTTTTTTATAACAAGAAAACAAAACAAAACAAAACCCCAAACCCTGACATAACATCCAACCCATTTTCACCTCTGTCCTTTTTTTGTTTGTTTGTTTGTTTGTTTTTTGTTTTTCCCTGGCTTGGCGCCGTCTCATCACATTGCATAAAGAATCTTCATCTTCCATCCGTAATGCACTTGTGAGAAGACACAGACGAGGTGAGGAGCGGGTCAGGGTGGGGAGCTCCATCCATCAGTGGGTGCCAACTCCTTCAGAGGCGTCTCATCCCCAAGCACAGTGCTGAAGCTCTCACATTGAAGCTTTTCTGCTCTCTGTTGGGCAAAGAAAAAGCAGCGTTGGTGCACAGCCTGGCTTTGAAAAGAAGCAGCACGTTGTTATGGTTTCAGAGCAAAGTGGGGTGGATAGCACACATTGGTCCCCTCGGACGACTTCAATCCCCATTCCCCAGAAATGAAAAGTGAAATTTTGCTAATTAAAATCGTTTAACGGACTGAATGCAAGGCAGCTGAAAGCTAGGAAAAGATTCATTAAGAATATTCACGTTAACGGCAAGTTGCAAATCCAATCCAAAATAATTACCATGAAGCGAGCCTTCCTCATCACATTTTTCTCTTAATCAAGCTGAGCTCCTGAAAACCTGATACCACTGATATGATATTAAGCAACTGGCTGAGCTGATAGCTGAGAGCAGATTGCTGAGACCCAGCCTGAGATCCAACCTCTGTCCCACCACCTCCATCACTCCCATTTCCCCCAAAAATGAACGCCTCCCTCCATCCCACAGCTGGAAATGGAGAGCATTGCTCTGCCCACCCACAGTGGGGCACAGCCCTGAGCTGGGGGGATGTGGCACTGAGCACTGAATGGATCCCAAGCGCTGGCCCCTTGGTGCTGATGTTTGAGTGACAATTAGTAATGCTTCTGATGGAGAGGTTCATTAACTACATTAAAACCAGCCTGATGAGTGCTAATGAGCGCTGCCACCAGATCAGATGACGAGAGCTGGGTGCTTCGTTAGTGGGAAGGATCTGTGTTAATGAACTAAATACTAACGAACCTGGATCCACTTCTCCCAGCCTGGCCATGAAGCCCTTCCCTACAATAAGCCAATTTTCCCCACGTGAGTCTGTTTTACCCAAATGGCTGAGCCTGGATCCATCCCATACACCTGGATAGGAACCTCAGCACAGCACGGACTGATCGGATGCAGAGCAATGGGCAGAAATGCAGACACAGCTCAGGTTTCCCAGCTCTTCTGGGTACCCCAATGCCTTTCCAGGATGAATCCCTGTCCTTGTACCTCAGTTTAATGATGTCATTATTCCACTGAATTCAGCCAGAACAGTAGTGGGAGTGAGGTCAGGAGCACGCAGGAGATGTTGCTGCTCCGGCTCCTGAAGGGATGCAGATGTATTCCCAGCACACAGGGATGATGAAATCCTCCCCCCTCCAACAGAAGCAGAGGACGTGAAGCAGAGGCTACAGAAATCAGAGGTTGTTCAGTTGGTGGAGCCAAAGGATTTGTGGCCAAGAGGTGGGAGTTGGCGGAGCAGCTCGAGAGACCGCGTGCACCGCATCTTCCTTGAGCCCTGCACCCAGGGGAAATCTGGGGCTGGAAAACAGCTCCTGTTGAGCCAAATCCTTAAGGGATAAACAAAGAGGATGAGTCTGCCCGTCTTCCTCTCATCCCAGAAAGTATGTTGGAATGGCTGAGATTTTTAATATAGAATGAAAGTGTGGGATATAATTGATGATAAGCAACACAGCTTTGGGGGAAATAGATTTTATCACATTAACTTGATGAGCTCTTCTTACTGAGCTCCAGGTAAGGCTGATAGAGGTATGTGCTGTTGTAATGCACTCCTGCAAACGAGCTGCACGGCACCTTGGTTATGAAAATGGAGCAAGAAATGCACAGAGATTTCAGGAGAAATGAGGCATGAGGGTGGAAATGCAAATGCAAAGGTGCACATCCCCCATGTCTGCAGCACAGGGAATCCCATTTCATGGACTGCAACCTGCACAGCATCCCCAGCCACACTGCAGTGCTCTCAGCTCCTTTTTTTTTGCTACCACAGGGGCAAACAGCAAAACACATCTTTCTGCAGACACAAAAATGCTTTGCAATGCGTGCATTCGTCTTTTCCATGCTTCACTGCAGCCTTTGGGTTCTCACGAGAGCAAAACCCAGAGCAAAGGTGCTGCTGCAGGAGCCCCACTGCACCCCAACCACCGCTGATCAAACCGTGACACAACCCAAAAGGATTTTCCATATCTGCTATGCAAGAGGCAAGCAAACAGCTGGTGCTGGTCAGCAGCAACACAACGCCAAGTGCACTTTGCTGCCTGGAGAGCAAGAGCAGAGATAGCCAGTGGCTGATGCAGTCATGCACATCCGCACCAAGTCTTCCCACACAGTACGTGTAAGGATGCTAAAAATGAAGTGCAACAAATGTGGAAGAGCAACAGACGTGACGGAGCTTCGCCGTGCTCAGAAAAGCATCCGAATTACGAGTGGTGAGGAAATGAATCACTGCAGAACCAACACAGAACCGCTGATCCGGGGGTCTTCATGTACAGAGATGGTTCTCTCTGTGCAGAGGTGAAGAGCAGCCAGAGGGAAGTATTTGAGCAGAGTGACAAGCTGAATGAGATAGGAGACAGGTTTTAATTTACTGGAGCATGTCCTGCTGCATAAGAAGGAGAAAAGTGATGGTGCCCTGCAGGGACATCCGTGAGTGAAGGTTTCCCCATCCTCCTGCAGAGCATCCTCAGTGCTCTGCCAGTAACGAGACATGGATGGGCCCCTGAAATGTGGGGATCTCAAAAATCAGCTCCTCATTCACAGAGAAAAGGCAAGCAGGGGGATCGTGGGGGATTTTCTCAGAGCGTTTTTGGCTATTTTGATGGCTCCAGCTGAAAGGGCAGCGTGGGACCCCGCTCCCGTCCCTCTTCCGCACGGAGAATGGTTCTCATGAGCAAAAAATGCTGTTTGCTCTCTGCTGCTGACAAACAGCAGGAGCACAGCAGCCCTGACGCCTTCCAGCACAGAGCAGCAAACACGCGTCCCGTCAGGAGGGATGAATATCGCATTGACGGAGGCACCATTACTCATTTTCCTGCTCAGGAAGCCAAGTATGGGAGAAAAAGCTCTGGGTTATGCCTGAGGCTGTGTCCTATGAGCTGCAGAGCCCTCACTGGGGCTGCTCCACTGGGCTCCCTCAGGAGCAAACGTTCCCTGTGCAATGCAATGGCATGGCAGCTCCATGGCGTACCCTAAGAAAACCCTCCATCAGTGCCCACCCAAATGCTGTTAACCCCACACCCCCACTACCAGGGGAGGGATTCCCAGCACTGGGAGACACCCAAATACCCCCAGATCCACAACACCCAAATGTTGCCAGCTGCACATCACTGCCCAAAGCCGTGCGCTGGGGGAAAACCCAGAGCAGAGAAAGGTGAGGATGAGCAGCACCAGCTCCGTGGCATTGAAGGAACGCACAGGATTTGCTCTCCCCATGGCATCCCACAATGTCCTCAAAGCACCTATTTCCCTGCAGCCATTGCCCACACGCATGCCTTGCCATAGGGATGCCATTGCTGAGCTTTCCTTCCCCTGCACAAAGTGTGTGAGACTGAAAGGCAGAACGCTGCCAGGTGCAATGCTACCTGTGTGCTTGCACCCTATTGCTTTGCACCACAGGTTTGCATCCTGTTAAAGCATTCAAATATGGAGAAAGGCACTGCCTTGCGTCGGGCTGGGCTGTGCTTGCACAAAGATATGCATATTTTAAAAGCTTGGCAGGAAGAGGGCTCCAAACTACACAATTGAACAGATTTCATGCAGAATGCCCTCCACACACACAAACCACCACCTGAACCCCACGCTCTGCTCTGCCAGGACACCCCTTAGCAATGGGTGAGGGCTCCTCTTCCCTTCTGCTGGGGAAGCTGCTGCTCTGCCCTTCATCTCCACCAAACTGTTCCTAAATTGGGGATGAAAAACAACCAGCAGCTTCCTTTTTCCCTTTGTCAATGGACAGAACAGCAACAATTGGCCAAAGAAATCTGACCCTGCGGGAGGAAAGGGACACCCCAGCCCTGCTCTGTGACCCCGGAGTGGGACAGATCCCATCCACCTGAAGGGCATCTGCTGTGCTGGGGAGCAGTGAACCTTTTTGGAGGAATCCAGGCTACAGAAGTGTAAATAAGCGGGAGAAAAAAAAAAAAGTGAGAAAAGCATCAAGCAGAAAGGCCAGGATGGGGGGGTTCCTGTATCAAAGGTGATGCACCCATGGGGAGGCAGAGACCCTATGGCCCCCTAAACTCCACCAGGTAACACCTGTTTTGAGGCAAGCTTCACAGCCCAGTGTGCTCTGCTGTGCCTGGAGCAATGGTTGCAGCAGCACTAACACACAGTGGATGCACACAGCGAGGCAGCAAGGGCGCATGAAGTGGATGCACGCTGCAAGGCAGCAAAGGAACACACACGGATGGAAGCTGAAAGGCAGCAAAGGAACGCACACGGATGGAAACTGCAGCACAGGGCTCTCCATCCCCACAGGCTGCCACGGAGCAGTCTGGCAGCACTTTGCAGCTCCTGGCAGGATGCACTCAGTGGAGCTGTCAGACCATGCGGCACACAGAGTGCGCACGGAATGGCACCCAGCAAGACTGACAGCACCGAGGGAAGGAGCAGACAGAAATGGGGCAGAGCACAGCAGGGATATCCCCGTTTTGCTGCTCGCTGCTCCCTCTCCCATTTCTGTGCGTGCCTTCAGCGCTTTGACATTTTTCAGCAGTGCCATTCAGTGCTTGAAAACTACGGCGGATGATCCGACTTCCTTAGCACCTCTGTGATAAAGCGCTTTTTGCTGACAGTAAAATGTGTTTGAAGCTGTTCTGCCCCCACTGAATGAGGTGGGGAGCAGCCAGGAAAGCAAACTAACGACCGGTGAGGTTTCTGTTTATTTAAGTGGCACAGAAACTGAGAACTGTGCGCTGCTGTTTCCAGGCACACATGTGGTTTCCGTGCCGGTGCCATCCGTGCAACTGCCACAGCAAAAATATCGCAATGAAACTCAGCAAGGAGGGGGGAGAGCTCCCACTGCCCTGAGCTCCAACCCTTCTTTTAGGACGGGGCATGCAGAAAAACTTTGATAGGCATCAGAAGGGAAAGCTCGCAGCTGGCTGTGACAGCTCAGCCTGCTGGCAAAGGTGCCTGGGGGTTCCCTGCTGCCCCGTGCTCTGGGATGCTGTCAGGGTGAGGGCTGTCAGCTCTGTGTGGCTGCAGAGCATCGCCCTCGCCATGGTCAGAGCAGATTCTCTGCTGGAGAAACTGCTGCAGCTCCAATAAAGCCGTCAGATGCCATTAGTGAAGAAGCTGCTTGGATGTTTTCCGGGGGTGCTGAGGGTTTTATTCACTGGTTGGGGTGCTGGGGCTGAGGGGCAGTGTGAGGTGACACAAACCATCCCAATGCTTTTAAAGTCCGGAGGAAATCTCAGCAAAATTTCCGGTTTCAACACGGTCAAAATCCTCCCTTCCATCCCCTCAGGAAACACGTGGCTCAGCCAGGTTGGGCTCCAGGTGTCCTTTGTCTTTGCTGGCATTCCTGTACACTCCCCACCTGACAAACCTCTTTGTTCTTACCCCAAAACCAACCGGGACAGAGCAGGGCCCCAGCAGCCCCACTGGGGACCAACCCAGAGCACCGAAACACTGCCACAACTCTTCTCTTTTTGGACAGTTTTGGATAGATCCCTGCACTAAGCAGCACAGCTTTCCCCCAGCATTGCTCACCCAGAGCTCAGTGTGCAACACCAGAAAGCAAAGTGAGAAGCACACAGAACTGGAGGAACCTTAGGATGCTGCCATCCCATTACACCCAAAGTGCACGAAGACACACGAGGGCAGCAGGGGAAGCTGGAAAACAACACCACGCAGAAGGAAACACGAGGTTCGTTCCAAAAAGCAATGATGCAAACAAAAACCTCTCCCACCTTGCAAAGCTCACCTGATCCCATCAGATGTCCTGCAGCCCCCGGTGTGCACGGAAGGATGAAGGAGGCACATTTTCCCTGGCGGCTTTGGGTTTACATTGCAATCTTGCTCTTTCTAGCTCTGCATTTGTCCCCCTGGTTTCCAAAGGCTGCCGAGCTTTCCCGGCTGAGCTTTCATTTCTGCCCTTGGAGGACACTTTGGAGTTTTGCTCCAGGTGAGGTGAGCGCGGTCCTTTCTCCACTCATGTCTGCAGGCTCCCAAATCTCACTGCCAAGGTGTGAACTCCTTTGAGAGGGAGAAGGGGACATGGGGAGTGCTTATTGCCTACGAGCGGGTGTTTGGGTGCAGGGATGGGCTGCAGGATGGGGTGCGGATGGGGGTGCAGGATAGGATCCCTGTGCGGTGCAGAGCCGAGGGGTGGTGGGGCTGGAACCATCTGGAAGGGCTTTGGAGGGAAGGGTGAGGGCCGAGGGGGGGGATGGGAGAAGGGATGCCATGACAACCTTTTGGGGTTTCCCAGGAAACCAGGGTTGCCATAGCAACTGCATCACTCCGGTCCGAATTAGTGACTTCCGCTGGAAGGCGTGCTCACCGCTTTAATCTCCTTGCCATAAGCAGCTGCATCTCTCCCAGACGCGGTGCAAAAGGTGGAAACATCCCTTTGTCTGCAGCTCGGCAGCTCAGCCCTCGTGCATCCACCCCATCCCGCTCCACCCGCCGCATCACACGGACCCACGGATCCTGAGCTGGGTGAAATCATGCCCAGAGCTGCAGGGGAAGGGAATTAAGGGTAGAAAATAAGGGGGTCGGGTTTTAGTCTGAACCGATTGCGCTCGGCTTATGATCAGATGAGAATGTCAGAAATGATCCATCGGGGGAGAAAAGGGGATCCGCGGTGCGTCCCTAAGGGCACGCCGCCTCCCAGCATTAAGCACCGTTTAACAACCCGCTAACGGAGACCGTGCGAAATTAAAGGGTTGTTTCCTCCCAGCCCCCTTCCAGAGCTCGGCAACATGTTTTCCTCGTCTCCCCACCCAATCCGGGGCCGCTAATCCAACAAGTGAGCTTATGCGATGGAAGGGAAATGGGCTCCGCACCGCCTGCAGGGAAGGGGGAGCAAACCAGGAGCAAAGCGAGACGTCCCCAAAAGCCAGGAAACAAAGGCAGCCCTGCAACACGTTGCAAAACAGACACCTGCTCCAGCGGTGCCATTTGTCTTCATTCTCCTTCACCGTACCCATCGGCCGTCCTCTTTTCTTTGGAGAATTTTAAATCCCTTTCGGATCTTTAGAAAGGAAAAAAAGAAAAAAACCAAAAACCTCTACAAAAATAAACGTATAAAACCAAGGGCGCACACAGACGGACGATGGTGCATGTTCCACACAACACCAAGTACACACGGTCACTTTTGCATCATTATTGTTATTAATTCTTTTTTTTTTTTTTTTTTTTTTTTTTTTTTTTTTTTTTTTTTTTTTTTTTTTTTTTTTTTTTTTACCACATCCTCAGGTTTCGCTGCCGCTCTGTGTTTATTAAACATCCGTAAAGATCTTTTTGATGTTCACACAGTTGGGATTGTTTGTGGTTGTGCAGTTGCCTGTCTTAAAGGCAGCCTGTTTGAATGCACTGTGGTTGATTCCCCCCTCCTCTATCACCATGTACTCGGATTTGCTGAGGGTGGAATTGCTGCGTGCCTTCCTCATCTCTTCAGTAGATGAGAGGTGCTGGCAGCTTCCAACGTGCATGTACTGGGCTTGCTCCTCACCTTCTGTCTCCCGGTGGTAGAAATAGTTGAAATTGGAGACTATGACAGGCACGGGCAGGGCGATGGTCAGCACCCCCGCGATGGCACACAGAGACCCCACGATCTTGCCCCCGATGGTGATAGGATGCATGTCCCCATAGCCCACTGTGGTCATGGTCACCACCGCCCACCAGAAGGCGTCAGGGATGCTGCTGAAACCCGAACTGGGGTCGTCAGCCTCGGCGAAGTAGACGGCGCTGGAGAAGAGGATGACGCCGATGAAGAGGAAGAAGATGAGCAAACCCAGCTCCCGCATGCTGGCCTTGAGGGTCTGCCCCAGGATCTGCAGCCCCTTGGAGTGCCGGGACAGCTTGAAGATCCGGAAGACCCGCACCAAGCGGATGACTCGGAGGATGGCCAAGGACATGGCTTGCTGGCCATTGCCTTGCCTCTCTGCCAGCTCAGTGCCCAGAGTGATGAAGTAGGGAATGATGGCCACAATGTCAATGATGTTCATGATGTTCTTGGAGAAGGTGGCCTTGCTGGGGCAGGCAAAGAAGCGCACCAGCAGCTCAAAGGAGAACCAGATGATGCACAAAGTCTCCACCACAAAGAAAGGGTCGGTGAAGGACGACACCATGGAAACGGCTGAGGACGAGGAATTGGTGAAGACATCAGGTGGGAGAGGGCCACCACCCGTCCCAAATGTCCCCCCTGTTCCCTCATAGTCGTGGTCATCCCTGAACTCAGGCAGGGTCTCCAGGCAGAAGATGACAATAGAGATGAGGATGACCAGGACGGAGACGATGGCGATGCCTCGGGCTGGCCCGGAGCTCTCAGGATACTCAAAGAGCAGCCAGACCTGGCGCTGGAACTCCTTCTCCGGGAGCGGCCGCTGCTCCTCCCGAATGAAACCCTCGTCCTCCCGGAACTTCTCCATGGCCTCCTCCCCCAGCTGGTAGAAACGAATCTCCTCGGAGAAGATATCAATGGGGACGTTAACGGGTCGTCGGATTCGCCCGCCCGACTGGTAGTAATAGAGGATGGCATCGAAGCTGGGCCGGTTACGGTCGAAGAAATACTCGTTGCGCAGGGGGTCGAAGTAACGCATCCTTTTGCGGGGGTCCCCCAGCAGCGTCTCGGGGAACTGCGCCAACGTTTTCAGCTGAGTCTCGAAGCGCAGCCCCGAGATGTTGATCACCACCCGCTCGCAGCACTCGTGCTCTCCGCTGACCTCCGCGGGATGCCCTGCGGGGCCGGCGGCGGGCGGAGCGGGGTGTTCGTAGCGTTCCCCCCCCAGCAACGAGTGCGGATGCTGCGGTTCCTCCGGCAAAGGGTCCCCGGCGCCCCCCACCACCGTCATGCTGCCTTCCTCCGCCTCCTCGCCCTCTTCTTCCTCGTGGCCGGGGGGCGGCTGCGGGGCGCCGGGGGGAGGCTGTTCGGTGTAGCCCAGGTTGTGGTGGCTGCTGTTGGGGGGCCGGCCGGCGGAGGAGGCGGCCGGAGAGTGCAGCAAGCTCCGGCGCTCGTCCATAAAGGTGTGGGGAGGAAAGGGGAAAGGGTGAGAGCAACGGCGAGGCGGCGGTCGGAGCCTTTTCTTCCTCTTCTTCCTCCTCCTCGGGGCGGAGAGGGAGAAGCAGCCGCCCCGCTCCCGGCTGCCGCGGCTCTGAGCGGCGCCGGGCTGCGCTCAAAAAGTCCGCCCCCAGCGCTGGCACCGCCTCGCCCCGCCGCTCCCCGAACCCCCCCGGCACCGCCCGCTTCGGGGACCCCCGGAGCCCCGCGGAGCGGCTCGCTCTGTGGCCGGGGTGCGGTGGGGCTGCGGCGGGGAATTGCCGGATGCTTTGGGGGCTGGGAGCAGCGGGGGGAGTCCTGAACGGCAGGGCGTGTGTGTGTGTGCATGTATACGTGTGTGTGTGTGCATGTATACGTGTGTGTGTGTGTGTGCATGTATACGTGTGTGTGTGTGTGTGTGCATGTATACGTGTGTGTGTGTGCATGTATACGTGTGTGTGCCTGTGTATGTGCACATACGTATGCACATACATGTGGGTTTGCATGCCTATGTGCACGCATGTGTGCATGCGTGGATGCACGCGTGTGCGTGTGCATGTATGCGTGTGTGCGCCCGTCTCTGTGCACATGTATGTGCATACGTGTGCATGCTTGTGTGCATATGTGGATGCTTGTGTGCATACATGTGCGTATGCGTGTGTGTGTGCATGTGTGTGCACGCATGCACATGTTCATGTGTGTGTCTGAGTGTGCGTGTGCAACCCCACAGCAAAATCAATGCAGAAGCGAAGCTGGCTCAGCCTTCTCTAAAGGCAGTTGCAGTCTTTCCTGCAAGGAAGCTGGAAGGCTTTTCTCAATCAATCTTTTCAGACAAATAGTTCACTTTTGGTCAAATGGGATTTTTTATTTTTTTTTTCCTGCAGAAAGCCTTCCCTGCAGAATCCCAGTGCTGGCAAACACTCCATCCCCACAAGACTTGCACAGAGGGGTAACTCGAGGCCAACCCCCCCACGGGTCCCTGTGCTCCCAAACCCCATTGATGGCTCTCCAGAAGTGCTCCTATCCTCAGCCCTGTGCCAAGAGAAGCTCTGGGAATTCAGGGGGTTCCTGGCTTGGGAAGGAGCCTGACCACATGGGTCAGGGATGTATTAAGGGCATCCCAATCCCATCCCACTCCAACAGCCCCACTGCAGAGAAGGTGAAATCCTCACCACCAGCCCCGCTGCAGCTCCTTCCTGCTGTTATTTTTAACCAGCACAGCCTCCAGAAGGTAGGGAGAAAAAAAAAAGAAAAACCACAGATGAAAAGATCAAACTTATTTATACTTTAAATTAGAAACAAGCTGTACAAAATATACAAACCCATGGGGGAAAACTGCAATAAATATTGCTGTAGGAGCCGAGCCCAAAGTGTAAATGGGAACAGATCTGAGCAAGCCCAGCTTCCCTTCCTCATCTTGTTGATAGATCTGGTAAGGGGCAAAATAACCCCAAACCTTCTGCCCCAAAAAGTGGTGGAGGTGCCCCAGGAGGAGGCGTCCAGCTGGGAACTGCTCTGGGCTGTGGCCTCAGCCCCAGCTGCAGCAGCAATAGGGGACACTCATCTCCAGGCCATGGCACATTGCCCTGCATGGGTTTGGGTTCTTACGGCCACCTCCATCCTTGGCTTCATGTCCTGCTCATGGCTGCACATCACCCAGGATGAGGGAATTGGGGCAACAGGCATCCAGCCTTACTCCTTCATCATTCCTATGGCAGCTAACAGCAGGAGAACCCAACACACAGCATCTCCCAGCCATCCCAACCTGGACAGAGAGAAAACCAAGCATCATTCACCCTCAGGTTGCTCATAGGCTGCAAAACACTCCTGCAAACAATGGTTCACATCCAAAATCTGAGCTCTGCTCTCTGCAGGTTTCGTGATCTGCCATCATCTGCTCCCTCCACACTCGTGTGTAGCACTTACTTAAGGACTTGTCTGGCTCATCTCTTTCCACTGCTAGGATTTCTGCCAGTAAATCACTGTCATCTGGTCGAAGGCAAACAAACAAGGCTGCTTCATACCGTAAACATTTATTGATGACAAAAGGCTCGAGGCAACAAGGCGGAACTTCCATAATTGCAACAGTTTACTTGGGCTCTCAGTCGGGGGGTAAACCCATTGGAAATCAGCACCAGCTCTGCAGAGAGCCACGTACCTTTGGGATGCACTGAGGAAAATCCCTTCCCTTGCAACCAGGATCGAGCTGTCCCCATCAGCTCAGCACAGCAGCAGGAATTAACCCCTCAGCTGCCGCCTGCTTTAAATCAGCCTGAAGGATTGCAGCTCCAGCCCAGCAGCCTCAGGCACCGCGTGGCCTCCTGGCCCTGTTTTCCCCTCCGCTGCTTCCACCTAATCCCATCAAATCTAATTAAGCTCTGCCAGGCCAGCAGCTCGCTGCAGGCACAGCGGCTTTAGGGCCATTGCCGCCAGCCCCAGCTGGTCAAGCAGGCTGGGTTGTGCCCCAAACCAACAGGAATGAACACGATCACAGGGTGAGATTGAGCACGGTGACACCAGTGCTGATAGGAGTCCATGGGAGGGGACACCTCTGCAGTGCCCCCAGCATTTTCCTGCAAAGCGCAGCACCAAATGTGCTCCTCCAGGCTGTGGCTTTTCTGTTGAATGAAGGATGTCCACCTCCTCTCTGCTTATCCATCCAATTCTAATCTTGAATCTGGACTCAACAAATTCGATTTGATTCCTAACAGCCATTTAGGAAACTCCCCTGTGCAATGATCTACAGGCTGACCTGCAACACCAACTGCAGCTTGCACAAAGCAGCAGAGCCAGCACTGCTCCTTTCTTCCTCTACTGGCCTTCTTGGGGCAGATTAACAAGCAGAGGGGGCACACAGCTTCACCTCTCCCACAGCCATAGGGGAATCCTTCCAGACCCCTCCCATGCATGGAACCTCCATTCCAACCCCCCCTCTGCTCCCAGGCTTTGGTTCCCTGCCTTGAAGCCTTGCCCACCCCAAGCATCCTCTTGTGCTTGCCCTGCCCCATTCAGAGCTGTGCATCCTGCAGCCTCGCTGCCCGCACGTGTTGGAGCCCTGCCCTCCCTCATGTCTGAATGGGAACCCTGCCTCCATTGATAAATCTGGGACAAATCTGCTACTCTTTATTTCTGAGGATCAGAAACCTTTCAGCGCTAACGCTGTTACAATAATACCTTAATGCACCATAAATGTATTGTCTCTCCTCTCACAGCAGGGAACACACAAAGCTCCAGCTGCTCCATGGGGACATGATTAACTCACTCGTGTGGCTCCTCCTGTCGTTCCAGAACCACGAGCTCACCTTGCCCTACCTTTGCTTCTCACATCCATAGGAACCCTATTTCCCTGCCAACATTAGAGGCTGTGTGTGCCATTCGGGTCACTCCCCACTGCTGGGGCAGAGCTGAAACTTGTAAATAGGGCTTCAGCATCAACCCAACTTCTCGTGATTAACTCAGAGTAACACACAGCTACAGCAAGCAAATGGGCACCGGCACTCTGCTCCTCTTTCTGCAGCCACGTTGAGTCTCTTGCTCTCCCCGTAACCTTCAGCTGGTTCTTCCCTGCAAACTTAGCTCTGATTTAATTACGGTTATTGGCTCTGCAATTAGGGATGAAGCAGCACAAGGCTGCCTTTGGTCCAGGAGTGACCACCCTGCAGCCTTTGGGCTCACAGCCACCCCACAGAGATGCACTGCAGCTCTGAGATGCGCCCACAGCCGTCTGGCTGCGTAGGAGCAGAGCCTCGAGTCTCTCCGTGCCTCAGTTTCTCCTCTGTACATTAGGAGAACGCTTCTCGCCTCCCACCTGCAATCTATTTAAATCCCTCGCCAGCCTTTCGCCCAGCTCGTGGTTGCAAAAAAAAAAAAAAAAAAAAAAAAAAAAAAAAAAAGGAGAGAGAACCAGAAACTCGAGATAGGAAATAAAAATTCAGCGTTTTCTGGCTGCTGAGGTTTGCTTCACAGTCAGCACACGGGCAAAGCTCACTGCTGCAAGCTCCGTGGGGATGGCAAACCTTTAACAGGGCGCTGAGCACAAACACAACAGGCAGCAGCACAGGGGGAGGTCTCTGTTGCAATAGAGTGAATAGAGGCAGTCTTCAGAGAGTGGTCATTGCTCTCAATAGGTGGGGGAAGTGAAAGTCGAACCTCTGACCCCAAGTAGCCGTGCATGGATGGGAGCGATGGATTTAGCAAGAGAAGTGCACAACTCTGCCATCAAAGAATGGGGAAGATTTATGGGGTAAAAGATCCCCCAAATTCCTCTGTGTTGCTTGCTGACTTCACACAGTGGCTCCATTGGCTGTGATGGAGCTGCTGGAGCTCGATCCCATCCAACCCTTTGGGGACCAAGGGGTTACAATTCAGACTGGAGTCAGGCCTATTTTAATATCCTAAAAATGTGATTACAGGGCGGGATTATGTTGGCCAAACAATGTTAATGCAAATTCCCCCTTTAATGGGGATCACATTCCAAGGCCTTCACAATGACAGCAAAATGATATCCAGAGGCTTCTTACGCAGCTCCTGTTGCACGCCATTATTTGGTCATTAGGCGATAAGATTACATCCACAAAGCAACTTAACCACAAATCCATGGAGACGGCGTGGCAGCGGCGCTGCCTTTTCATTACGGATGGGCAGATGTCCATGGGATGAGGGGTGGGTGCTTGAGGGATGTGGGATGAGCATCGTTGCCCAGTTGGATGAGAGCTCAGCAGCCCCCGTTTTGGGGCAGTAGAAATCACTCCTTGCGCTTCACTGAATAATTTATTCCAGGAATGTCACTTCTGCTTGGCTTTGGTGGCACTCGTCCCCATCCGAGTTGGCACACGGCAGCATTTCAGCCTACTTATGCCAAGAGAAGCCAACAGCTGCAAAAATTCTGCTAGCAGCCCCTCTGACAGCCAAGCCCAACCACTGCCCTCCATCCAAACACAGCTGGAGCAATCTGCCCTGAAATACGGGATCGGTCTCTTCAAAACAATATTTCAAGTGGATTTTTCAGGGGGAAACTGAGGATATTCGGGTGAATTGGTGCCCAGCCCCGCTCAGCTGCACAAACAGTTCTGTTCTTAAATAGCTCCATTCGGTTTGCATAGAAATACTGGAGA